AAGCAAGCTAATTGTCACAAATCTACTGTGGATAGAATTATTAAAAAATACAAAGAAACTGGAAAACAGATGTGCAACTAAGATCAGGAAGATCATGTTATACTAGAAAGAAGGTAAAGTTCTCAGAAGTCTTATAAGAAGTTGTGGGAAAATTTCAGCTTAAATGTTAGCTAACATGTAGAGTGAAATAACTTAAAAAAACTATTTCTGAAATAACAAGATGGAAACTAAAAGGAATGTGCTAAAGATTTAAACAAGAAAAAAAGAGACTGCCATTTACAACTGCAACAAAACAAAATAGAATTAGATAGTTTAGAAAATAAAAATATTTGGATATTAATATGTGAAAAAATTAGTATTTAGTGATAAATCAAAATTTTGTCTATTTAAGGAAGGAAAAACAAAGATGTTGCAAAAAAAGGCAAGGAATTTCAAACAGTAAAATTTGCACCAGGGATTATGGTGTATGAAACTTTAACTGTTTATTGGCTTGGGAGTTTACAAACTGTGAAGTAAAACACATTTATTCATCAGTTTACATTAATATACTCAATGAAAATTTTATATCAACAGCTAAATATTACTTTTCTGATAGTGGATACATTTATCAACAAGATAATGCACCTATCCATACAACCAATGAGATAAAATCATATTTTGAAAACATGGGAATAGAGGTATTAGATTTGACCTGGCAATTCACCAGCCCTTAATTTCATAGGGGGGGGAAAATGGAATATGGTGAAGAAACAACTGAAACAAAAACATATTTTAATAATTATTTTATTTTGTTTTTGAAAGATTTATAGGAAAACAATCTAGTATGGAAAGAAATTACTGTCCTTATGTGAGAAGTTAATTCATCCTATGCTACAAAGAATTAAAGCAGTTTTAAAGGCCAAAAGTGGAGCCATACAAGACTGAAATTAAAGTTGCAGGACTTTTATCTGTTTTTCTGTATTGCAGGATTTTTGTCCATGATATATTTTTTACTGTTTTGTATTTCACTGTGAAAATAATTTCATAATAAAATTTGTGGTCTTTTGAAAGAAAAAGAATCTCCCTTCCTATTTTATTAATAATTTTAATGTAAATTTCATTTTTAAATATAGCAACAAAGTTACTGAGGCTTAAAAAAATAGCTTGTTGCGTGACTTTTGTCGCTAGATTGTAAAATTCATTATTCATCATTAATAGACACGTTTGGTTGTGTAACTAAGGAATGGAATGATTTTCTATATTTAAAAAAAAAACCTGTTCAAAATGGAAACAAGTCTATCAAACTGGAAGAAATATTTGGTACTGTATGAGTCCAATTTATATCAGTTTCACTATACAAGAGAGCATGGAAATGGAACTTTAATTTGTTACTTACAAAACTTAACAAAATTGATGTTTAAAAATTTTTTCTTCCGTAATAAAAAAAACTTAAAATATAATTTCAAACTCATAGTGCATTTTGAAATCATTGGCATCTTAGAATCAATAAAATACAGTATGTTTTCTTTACAAGAAACTATATTTGAATATTAATTTACTTTGATGAAATAATCTAACTGCTGATTTTGAATATTTCTATACATTTTAAAATCTTATAAGTTTTTCAATATTTACTTAGTTTAACTAAAAAAAAAATAAATAGCAAAATATTTATTCTGTTGTAATTCAGTTTTTTTTTATGTTNTATGTGAGAAGTTAATTCATCCTATGCTACAAAGAATTAAAGCAGTTTTAAAGGCCAAAAGTGGAGCCATACAAGACTGAAATTAAAGTTGCAGGACTTTTATCTGTTTTTCTGTATTGCAGGATTTTTGTCCATGATATATTTTTTACTGTTTTGTATTTCACTGTGAAAATAATTTCATAATAAAATTTGTGGTCTTTTGAAAGAAAAAGAATCTCCCTTCCTATTTTATTAATAATTTTAATGTAAATTTGATTAGATCTTTTTGTGGCACAGTTACTAAAGCTCAAAAAAAATTGCTTATTGCAGGACTTCTGTCCCTAAGTTGTACATATTTTTTATTATCAGATTTATTTTAAAATATGCAAATGGTTATTGCAAAATTTAAAGGGATATATTAATTTTTTTATGTTGCTCAATATAATATGCATATAGATATATAGACTATAGAGTAGTAATGATTCTTCATGGCAATAATTGTCAACGAAGTTGGTAGCACATCTGTATTCAAAAATAATGTATTTCAGTGCTTGAAGGGTTCTGGATAATTCATATATTGGCTGTTATATTACAAAATAAAATGAATCATAAGCTCATTGTCAAAAACTGCTTTAATTGAGGTTATAGTGGAGAAAAACTGAAAACATGATATTTGAAAATGGTTATATAAATGGTTGAATGGTTATATAAATGAATATATATGAATATATAATATATATGAATAAATGAATATATATAAATGAAATGGTTATATAAATGGTTGAAAATGGTTATATAAATGGTCTTGGAATACGTTTAAATATTCTATTAGTTATATATTGTAAGAGTTGGTTGCCTCTATCATTCATTCAATATTTTCACTTTGAAGGTGTTCTGATATGCATCCTGTATGCTCACACATTATCATCCTTGAAAATTAAACCAAAATTAAAATATGTAAAAAATACATGGGACTTTAGGATTTCATGAATTCAAGTCTTTAGAATTGAATCTTCATTTGTTGAACAATGAGGGGTCTATGTTCAGTTACACAGAATGTTTCAGAAGTATTGGGACAGTGTTTAAAGTGCTGAAGAGTACTGAGAAAAAATTGACATAAGTAGTAATATGATCTCTATCACCAATAATTTTATACTAAAAGCACTTACACTTCCTGTCATCACTATAATGGGTATCTTTACATAAGAGAGTTTGCTGTGATTCAGAAACTAAAAATGCTTTTGAGAATTCAGAGATGTTTTAAAGCTGAATTTGGAAATCTACCACCAAAACATGAAACAACATTCCAGATAAAAAATTACTATGATTCATTGGGGAATGTGTTAGACCTTCCGCACCCAAATAAGCCTGCCTCTGTCTAATGAAGTCAACAAAGTTTGTCTTGTCACTGAACTGGAGAGTTCTCTTGAAGTTCATTAACTGGATGGTTGTCTACTAAACCTGGATATTTCTGAATTATCCATTTGATGTGTTGCATGAAATGTGAATCTGCCTCAGGCTTCATCTGAGGCTGATTCACATTTCCTTCAGAACAGTCTTGATAGGTACATGTAGTTTGCTGAAAAATAGATTAAGAAGCATTAATAAGACCTGGATATGAGTAATTATGTCACCTGGAATGATGAAGCCAGTTTGTTTTGTCTAGAAGTGTTAACAGGTGCAGTTGCATATATCCAAAGTCATTGGAAGTTGGCCACAAAAGTCCAGAGATAATTGTGTTGGGTGGAATAATGTCCAGTGCTCTCATGAAGTCACTCATTTTTAAAGGATTAGTAAACAGTCAAACTTCAACTTAATTAGATAATGGTTACTTCATTCTGTATGAACAAGACAAAATGGAAATATGGATATGATAACAAGATAGATTGGCTCCTTGCTATGCCATAATTGTGTAACAACTATTAAATGACACATTTCGCTGAAGCTGGATTGGCTGTTGCAATCCAATGGAATAGTCCATACCACATCCCAATATTACAACACCTGATTATTTTCTGTAGAAGTATTTAAACAATATTGCATGAATACTTGAAGATATGCACCAAGTGATTGTAGCTGAGTTCATAAACATACCAGTGGAGATGTGCTAGAAAGCATTGGTAATGTTTCCTTTGGTTCCAAACATGTATCAGTATTGCTGGTGGTTGATTGAGGTGGAAAATTTATAAAGACTGATCAGTTGATATCTAATTCAAGTAAACAAAGCCTTTCTTTTTATTAATATCACAATGCTTCAAACACAAAGTTGCACCCTTTAGTATCTATTTAATGTTATCTCTTCCCAACTAGGAGGGAACAACAAAGAATTTCTAGTTATTTATTATGAATATCAAAATATGTCAAGAATTATTTTGGAGAATGAATTTGATTAGTAAAGATTTTTTGTTTACTGATCTATAATCTATTTCCAATAGAAAGATAATGGAGCATCTTATGATTGCATGCATGCAGTGTCTTTTATTATCTTTAAACCATATTTGATGCTGCAATATTTATAAGATGCTTTGTTTCAACTTCAAGGGGAGAATAATAATAATTGAATAGAAATACATACATCACACTACAGAAGGACACTATATTGAATACATGCCACATTGTTAGGAAATTCCTGAATACAGACACTGATACACTTATTTAATTTTTGTTTTTGGTTGCTATGCCTTAACTCTGGTCCAACATAGTAAACAGCAACCGGTATCAACCAAGTATAACCCACTAAATACTGTATAATAATAATCATAATCATGAACTTTAAATACTTTTGCTTATGTTTTAGTTTGTCTTAATCTTTCCAGTTGCACACATGTTATAAGTTCTAAAATTTTAGCTTTTAATAATAAAATTTAAAATATATATATATATTTTTTTAATTTAACAAATGTGTCATCAAGTATAAAATTTTCATGATTTTTCTATTTTAGTTTTAATTTTTGTTTGTCATTATCCAGTTGAAAAAATTGTTTATACAGTAAAACTTATGTAAACTGGAATCACACAGTACTGAAAATGTTTTTTCTGGTTTGGCGGGTTTCTGTTTTAAACAGGTTTTTTTTTAACACAGAAAATTGCTCTGTTCTGATAAATTTTTTTTATTTAGGCAGGTTTCTGTTTTACTCAGATTCTATTTTGGACAGGTTTTAAATATATTAGACTCTGTGGTCCTATATGATGACATGCTTATGAAATAACTTAGATATTTTTTGTAATATTGTTACTAATATCCATTCTGTTATAATAAATATTTTTTTTATTGTCACTAAAAATTTTTAATACATTTTTCAAAATGATTAAAATTTATTCTTTTTTTTTTATTTAGGATGAAATGGTCAGTGATAGTATTGAAATTGAAAATAGTGTTCATTCACGGTTAATTGGCAGCAAAGGTCGAAATATCAAAAAGATTATGGATCAGTACAAAGTCGAAATCAAATTTCCACGTCAGTCGGATTCCAATCCAAATTTAGTTGTGATTACAGGATTGCAAGACAACGTGGATGATGTTAAAGATGTTCTGCTAAATTTTGCAGAAGAATATGTACATATATTAATTTTTTAATCTTTAATGAATTTTCTTTTAATCCTCCTTTAAAAATTTATTAATTCCATTGCAGCTTCAAGACATCAATGAAGCCGAATGGATGAGAAAGTATACAACTCCACCAAGCCGTCAGAATGACTATGAGGGAGACCGTCCCAGAGAGAACAAAGGTTTTGTTGTCAGAGGCGGACCTTGGGAGCAAAGATCTGCTGTACCTGCCCCCGATACCTCTAACACCCAGGAATTCCCGTCCTTCGGCTCGGCGGATGTGCCTAAACCTGTTGCCTGGGGACCTCGTCGCTAGTTCCACTAATCGAAATGCTTCTAACTGTGCGCCTGAACGCCGCACGGTTGTCGGCGGGGATAGTGGCTCCGTGCTCCATTTGGTGGCATGATTGTTCGTTTTTATCTGAATGCCATGCCCTCACCAGCCATCACCATCTTTTTTCTCCATGATTCATGGGTACAACTGTTGTGATTTGTGTTTCTTGGACTGACTGTTCTGTCCTTGTGGGACCCATTCCAATAATTGTCTTGCCTTCCTTTAAATCAATTGTTGATCATCTGAATTTTGTTGATTTTATAGGCCAAAAGAAAAAAACTATAAAATTTTCCATAAGACACTTTCAGGGAACATTGTCCTCTGTAATAGTGTCTAGAACTGTATATTCTAATGTATTAATATAATCATCTTTATTAGAATTTTTATGTTATAACATCACGGATTAAATTATAGTTTATTATTGTTATTTTTTTTCCTTAATGTTCTTATATGGCGATTTAGATATATTAATATCAAAAGATCTCCACTCAATAATTTTTTTTTGTTTTTAGACATTTGCAGTTTTGTAAAGGTAAAGAATACCTTAATTTTTTTTTTGTTCTGTGGGGAAAATTTAGAAAGGAAGGAGATTATTTGTAATATATGTTTTAATTTTCTTATATTCCACCTCCAAGTGCTAATGAAATCATAGGTGAAAGTAATTTTAATTTTTGACAGTATCATTACAAGATTTGGTATGGTGGGGTGAGGAATGACAACAGGTGGTGTTGCATATCAGTAGATTCCTTGCAAGGTGTTTGCACATGGGTTGTTTTACTATGCAGATACACTTCCAGTGGCACAGGGAATTACATACTCCTTGATGATGCCAGTCATGCTTTGAAAAATTAATTTGTATATTCCATTCAAAATGTATAATAATCTAAAGAGGAAATAAATGGAGAAAAACTTTAGTCTTTTGTTTTTTAAATGTTTAAATTGAATAAATTGCACAAGAAGAAACATTTTAATCCACATTGTAGAATTTATATTATTTAGAGAATTCGGCGAGTGGCACGATTAAAGATGCATTTTATACATACAAGTTGTATTTAATAGTAGCTGATCATGAAAATATTTTCGTGTATAAATATAATTGCGTCTTATTAATTTTTAATAAATATTTCTTATTCTTAAAGCTAAGAAACATAGAATTTCATCCAGAAGACATTAAGAGAACCTTTTTTGTATATTCATCGAGTCTCTTACTGTATCATATGGCCGAACGGTGAGGAAGGAGACTCGACGTACTGAACTCGCCCACAGATAATTTGAACCGATTCAGACTAATGGAGATCTTCTAGACATCTAGAGCGATGAATCTTTAACATCACAGCCATTCCATTATACAGTAATATCCTATAGACATAATGATTTGTACGGATGCATCGGTAGAAATAATTAACTGAGATGATGATGATGATAATGCTTAGAATTACAAAGTAATAGTTTAATTTCTTTTGTGATGTTCAAAACAGTTTCTTTCGTATTTATCTTTTACTTTGAATTTTTAAGATAAAAAAAATTTTATTCAAATAAACTTTTAAAGCTGATCAAGAATTTTTTTAAAATAAAAACTGGAGTTTGTTTTATAAGAAAATTAAATGTGCAAAAGAATTGTTTATTAAATTAATCATTTTTCTATTCTTAGTATAAAACTTAAATTTGACAAATATATCTGCTATACAATTTTAATATGAAAAATTTTTATTACTTTTCGTATGCATGCCATAATATCTGGAGAAATCAAGTTAATCTATTGTAAAATTCACAGATATTGCAGAATAGGATTTCAATCCACAGCTGGAAGACTTCCAGAGCTACCAATACAAAAAAAAAATACACTAGATAATTTTTATTGGTATCATCATTTATCCTTAAATTATTTTTATAGTTGTTTAGTTATACTGATTTAATTCAAAATTTAGCTTAAATTTTGAAAATATTCACGACAAACGTTTCTTGTGTTTAACGGTAGACCTAATTATGAATTCAGTAAATTAATACAATTTCTATACACAAAATTGGATGTACAGTACAGTACTTTTATATAGGAAAAAAAAATATATGCCGGTTCTGATTGTCAATAACTTGAACTGTGACCAGTTACGGAGTACATCGTGACATTTATAAGTCACGATCGACGCAACGTGACATCACGAATTATCTTTCAACCATAGAAAACACCTGCTGTGTGCACATATTTCTTGTGAATCTTCTGCGATACCGTAATATTTTCCATTGTTAATTATCGTCATACTTTAAACTCATTTGAATATCATAAACATTATTTAAAAATTAAGACTGTAAAAAAAAGAAAATAAAGGATAAGGATCGAAACATGTTTTGAGCTTGAACTGGAAGAAGCATCAAAGGTCGACAACTCGAACGAAAACTAAGTGTAAAATAATGCTGAACAAATCGATAAATTTGTATTTGCTAGTAGTTTTATCGCTTCAATTGTCGATGTTTATTGCTCATCGATTCATTTTTTTTTTTTTTTTATTAGCTTAGGACATCGTTAAATTGTCACGCAAACCGTAAATTTAATTATGAAATTATTTAATATAAATTGAGATAATTATTGAGTCTTTATTAAATGATAAAAATTTAAAATATATCTACGTGACAATGTACACAAAAACTAAATTTCTATTTAATTAGCACGAACAAAAGGGTTACAAATCAAAATCAAGACAGTTGTATATTGAATTGAAATACATTGTTTAATACTTTTTTTATTCATTTTAAATGTATATGTAATAAACAATTTGAGTAAATTTAAAAGTACGACAATTGCTTAAAATCTAGATTATATAAAACCATTCTAAATACCGTATAGGGAAAAATTGTATACGTGTGTGATAAATGTTTTCTTGCTATACATTCTAATTATAAAATATATATTTTTAATTTTCCATAGAAATTTCTGTAGTAATTTAAGAAACAAAACCAAGCAATACATTTCGAATATCTGAACATTTTGGAAAAACCATAATGTGCCACCTTCAAAGAGCTAAAGTGGATATTATTGTAAGAAATCATAAAAAGTAATTCTATTTTCATATAAAGAGAAAGATATGTTTCACGCGATGTATGCTACATAAATACATGCTAATTTTACAAATATGTAGCACAAAATATTTTACGATATTCCAGGAAAGGCGCACCTAAAAAGAGGTGTGCTGAATTTTCTGACGAAGACGCACCTAAAATGCAAAATTATACTGGAAACCTTTATGTGTATGTATACAAAATTCACTAAATTTCATAAATATGCCATGCACATTTAATAGCAATAACCATAGAAAAATATATAGGCTTACTAAGATGCAGAAAACGTGCACAAAACATCGATTTTTCTTCAAAGGATTAAAGTAAATTCAATCTCGATTGCAATAAGCAAACTCGTCTAGACTAGTGCAATGAGGCGCGTATTCTTCGAATAATAATTACACTGTCAAAGAATTAAAACAGTCAAAGTATCATTCAACGTAATAGAAATTTATTTGTTAATAAATTAGTAAATCTCGAGATTTTGTTACTAAAATAATACCCAAGCTTTAGAACATACAAAAGAGAGAAACTAGGAGAAGAGAGAGAATCTGAATTATGATGGAATTATGGACAATGCCATGTTGGACAGACGAGGAAATTACTGACAATCCAAGGTCTTTTCATGCAGTAACTCTGATCACGTAGATGTTTCACATGACTTGGTGTCCAGCCGTGTAGTAAATAGGGAATAATCCTAATTGGTATCTTTCTGTTGAAACATCTAGAATAAATGGCATGACTCCTTCCACTGGCAAATCTGGTTTCGATTTTTTTTTTTAATTATATTTTTATTATAGTTCTTGTATTTGATATAATTTAACCGTAGTAAATACACGAAAGTAATTTATAACGAAAATATAAGGGAGTAGATTAACAAAGGAATGTCAAAAATATTTCTTTCTTGATTATCTTCGTGGTTAAGAATAATGGCATCACACTTAATTATCTTTGTATTCTTGCAGTGACTTTCCAGTATAACGAAACACTTAATCATAAATAATGCCAATGTAGTCACACTTATTTAAATAATTTTGGGAAACGAGTCATATACTCTGATGATGGAAAGGATAATTCTACTACACGAAATATTTTACTTACGTTGATGATGATGAGAAGAACATTTAAATAGCAAATAGTAGTTAACGCCTCACTCGTGATGATGATGAATAACTTTGAGTGATATTGATGAAAGTTGATGAGCCTTATTTACGTTTGACATAATCTTCAATAATCATACAAAATATTCATAAAGGTTGATAATTATTAGACTTAAATTACTGCTATTCATTTTCTCATTTATTCTTAACGATTTAACGAATAAATTAAAAGAAAATCAAAATTTTATTACTTAATTTTAAAAATGTTGTCGTCAACCATTTTTAATTTGTCTAATTCCAGATATAACACTATTAAGTAAAATAGATGAAGTTGCCGTCAAAATATTCGTGAAGTGTCCGTGTAAGACCATCATTATTCGCATGATCTCATAAGTTTCTGAAAATTCGCTTATATTATTATTATTATTATACCTTAATGTATTATATACAATATTTATGGGGTTATACTCTAATGAGAAGGCCGTAAAAGCTCTTAATATTTTGGATAAAATCCAAATTGTCAACCGGACTTGGATACGTGTCACGAACCGAATAAATATTAATAAGTAATAACCACACTCAATTTTATTACGTTAATTTAAAGAAAATTAATGAAAATTATAATTAATAACATTATAAACAACATTAATTGTTATGATTCTCAATTTTTCCAATGTTTTAAACTTTCGTGATATAAGAGAATAAATTCGATTTTTATTTTTTTTTTTTGTATGATTTATACAGGTAAAAAGAAGCATAATAGATAATGTAAAGATATAACTTATCATGCAACTTTATAAGTTTATTAACCAATAACATATTGCTACAACAGCATTAAAAATTTAGAAACACGCAAAAATGGAAAAAGAATCCAAGCGTGGCCATCACATGCGTTAGAAAAGAAATGATTATTTTTAATTACCATACTTTTAATATCGAAAATTGTATATGTTTTTTTTTATTTAATATAATTCTTTTCTTTTGTTAACTGTTATAAATTAAATAGATTCGGTCACGCTTTATTATGTATTACACACCTATTAACAAATAACTCCTAACTAAAATGACCAAACCAAGATGGATGGATGTCTGAATATATTTTCTGTATTGATTTCAAAATCCTTTTTTCTAGAAAATTAACTATTAATAGATTACACTTTTATTATTATTATTATATATTTTTTTTCCCTACTACTTAAATTTTTATATTCGTGATTGGAACAGAATAAGAGTGCTGCTTGTGTGAACCACACCCAAATAAAAAATCGCGATATAACATATACTCAGGTAGCAACTACGGTAAAGAATTTTGTTATAATACCATTTCGTGACAGTTCACGAAAGATAAAAAAAAATATATATATATATATTATACATGTAGAAACCAATTTAAAAAAATATTTTTAATAGCATTAATGTTGTTTAATGGTTAATAACTGTAGGTGTTGCTAAGGTTTTCTGAATGATAAGTACCATACATTTTAATTTGTCGATTAACAAATTAATCGCCATTATAGACTGTATAATTCACTAGATTAATTAAAAGTTTTCGACGCTATCATTTATTTTCTCGGTTTTAAAATTAAGTTTTCTTAAAACTTAATATAACTTTATGAAAATATAATTAATATATAATTTATCTTTTTTCTAATATTGTTCGACTCGATACATTCTAAGAAGTGATACAATTTAAATTCTGATTTAATCAGTTACTACTTCTACTTCGATTTTTCTATATTTTTAGAATAATAAATTTTTAT